TTCATGTAACCTATCAGTATAACAAATTTTAACTAATAAAAATCCACATGACAATAGGGTGAATCAATGTATACTCAAAGTCTTTAAGGTCAAATACCTACTCCACATAATACAAGTCTCTTAGTTTAACAAGCCTTAGATCAACCATGTTATTCAAGATGTTGTATGCATCTCCACTTAACAAAATACCAATTGTTTTACACACTATCAAACATAATACATTCTCAAAGAAATACTAAAGATGAAACTCAAAAACCTATGCACATGGTATCTAACTCATAGTACTCCTTCAAGTTTATAATTGATCTTAACCTTAATTAGTAAAAAGGAAGTAGCATATCAACTTCTTAAACTTGTGTGAATGCACAAAGCTCAATCTCATATTTAGTGTAGAACTCATTAAGCCACTATAGGACATCAAATAAAGTTAAACAGTAACACTCTCTCTCTTGCATAAGGGTCATGAAATGTTCAATCAGATCTTCCCTAATTGATAATGCAAGCATTTTAGTGCCCTTCAATTCAATGAGCAAAAAAACCTTTATTAACAAACATGACAGTAGCCAAAAATAATGCCAACAATGTTAAGAAAAGATGGAGAAGACCTAAACATCGACTAACATGTAATCTATGGACACCAATCACTTCAACTACCTAAAACTAGCATCAAGATGATTCTCATAAACTCTCTTAAATGCCCATAGCATACAAACCTTGACAGATTAAGTACTGCTCAAAGGATTGATGTCAACCAAGTTCACACGCCTTATATTTTCAACTTCATGTTTTTCAATTCTGATAAGGAAATCCTATTTTAGAAGGAGAAAGTCAGAAGATTTTGAATAATAAAGAAAGCGATGCACATAAAAACTACCAAACTCAAACATTCATATGCATTAGCACTTATACGCCTCATTTAATTAATGCCAGGCAGAGATACCAAGGCCAAATCCAACGATCTACATAAAAAAAACACCAAGAAAATTTATAAAATACTCTTTACTTACAACTCTAGTGATATTGGAGTTCATGTACCATAACCCCCACTACCTCATAGATTTTCAAAGTATGAATGTTTGAAATACAATGTAGGTATGTGTTAATTGGGATAGATTGGATAGATGACACAAAATTAACTCCATGAACACTTGCCTTTTCTTAAGATTCCTATTCATAGGATGACGATAGAAGCCCTGCTTTAAAGTAGCATATGGGTGGTGATGCAAGAGAAGGTTTGAGAGAAGCACAAGATGTTTAATTCCTCAATCTCTTTTTCAAATGATTTTCCCTCATCTCCTCAACTAGTTCAGACCTCATCTTTAGGAAGGTGTACTCATGAAGTAAATGCAACATCAACCACATGACCAAGAGACCATGGCTAAGACTCCTTAGAACCCCCTAATAAAAAGATGAGCCTTAGGAAAAATATAAAGGTTTTTCTAATTGAAGATGTGGCATGAAGATATAAACTAATATAATGAAGAAAAACCAATAGCTAATGAAACATGATAAGCCAAACTATCTCCCATCTAATTCCATTTGTCTATAGTGAAAAGAAAAAAAATAGAAATAAAAGAGGGAAACTCACAATCAAGGACCCCTAGAGACAATTAATTACACTGCAAAACCAAATAATTTTGAATTACTCTGCAGGACCAAAGTACAACCTTTTTTGTGAAAAGACAAAAATACCCTTTATGTGTATATTATACTCTTTTAACAACAACCCTCCATTCGAACAAAAAACAAGCCATATTCACATCTTAACAACAATCAATTCCCTTATTAACAACTCTAAAAAATTAACTTGGTGTTGAAGAGGAACAAATGTTTTAATTTGATGAATAAGTCCTCATTCGAGAAAAAAAAAACTCATTTTCATTTTAACAACAAACAATTCCATTATTAGCAACTCTAATCCAAAAAATTAGCTTGGTGGTGGAGAGGAAGTGTTGTGATTCAGTGAACAAGTCTTCATTTGAGAAAAAATAATTCCTATTTTCATTCTAATAACAATCAATTCCTTCATTAGCAAATACAAAATATTAATTTGATAAACAAGTTTCCATTCAAAAAAAAACAAGTCCCTTGTCACAATAAAAACAATATCATTTTAACAACAATCAATTCCTATCAAAACAAAAATACATCAAGGGTAGTGTTGTCTTTTTATAAAAAATTTTAATTACATTTAAGTCCTTTGGTCTTGCAGAGTAATAACAGAATCCTTTGGTCTTGTAGCATAATTAATTGTCTCTAGGGTTCCTTGATTGTGATTTTCCCATGAAAATAACATAACTTTGAAAAATGAAAATTGATGCCAGCTATGTTGAAGGTAGAGCCGGTAATTTAAGTGTGTCAGCTTTATTTGAGCTAGGTTTAAAATATCCTACCCTTTCTAAAAAGCTCATATAGACAAGCCCAACCCTAACACCTTTAGGCTTTGGGCTTATTCTAGCCGGCTCAAATACCCATAACTTCTTTAAAATACTTTTGCTTTATTTTTGAACCAATTTTAATTTTTAAATAATTCTATTAGGCATAAAATATTATTTTATCTTTATATAATAAAATAAAAAATAACAACTTATCAAATTTGTACTTAAGTAGCATTGTTATTATTTTATTATAATATGTATAATTTATTCATGAATATTTCCTTTAAATGTAAATTAATGTCTTAATTATTTAAATATTTCTCTTATCATGGTCATATATAAATATTTTATATATTTTAATTAAATTAAATTATTTTAATCATGATCAAGTTAATCTCAATTCAATCATGGTTAGATCACTAACTTAAAAAATTTTTTTAATAATTTTTGGATAAACTATACATTTTGTTTTTAAGAATATGAGAAAATATCAATCACTATATTATATAAAACAAAATCATTTAATCATAAGTAAAATGTTATTTTTTGAAATTATTTCTTTGTAACTTTTATATTGTTTAACCCCTACATATAAGGGGTATTTACTCTAATTTATTCTTAATTTTAACCAAGTCTAGTGTGAATGATAACAAAATAATTATTCAAGAATATTATTCTATTTATTATGTTTATTTAGTAGTAGAGTTGAGAATTCATACATGCTTGAATTTTATTTTTAAAATTATTTTTAATTTAAAATCAATTACCTTATTTCATAAAAACTACTCTCTTCATTTAAAATGTAATGCATTTTTAATCAAATCTCACCTCTTAATAAAGTAGCTACCTACTTTCCAACTAATCATATCTTTTTTTATTTACCCTTATTAAACACCCTACAATAAATATAAAGTCATTAAGCACTTAAAAAAAAGATAATAATTACACGTCAAAAGATTAAAAATGTCTTACATTTTTTAACATTTAACTCGTCAAAAAGTACCTTATATTTTTGAATGGAGGGAGTATAAAATATATTTTTTGGATACAAAAATGATGTATAGGACCTCAACTTTTTTAAAAAAATTGGCTTTTAAAATATAAAAATAAATATTAAAATATATTTTAAATATTAATTTGAGATATTTTATTGATTAAAAATAATAAAAATAGAAAATATAAATTTTTTAATTTTTTGTTAAATAACTCTAGTAATGCACTCAAATGTATGGTATTTTAATACAAAATAACATAAAACTTAAAGAATTAACTAATATTTATTATATTTTATATATATTTTTAAACATTTTATTTTTTTCATTCGGGCCGATCGGGCTTGGCTCGAATTTTCTTGGGCCTATTTAGGTTGGCCTAAATAGGCTCAAACATTAAAAAATTAGCATTTTTTCTTGGCCTTGAATTTTTTGGGCGAACTTTGGTTGATCTATCAGGCTTGGCCTAAATTACCGACCTAATTGAAGATGGTATACCAATGTAAAAAAAAAAATAGATAATATTTTAAAAAGTAATAAATTAATAATTAAACCTTCTCTTTCCTCTGGTACACAATGGAGAGAAGACATTGTGAAATATGGACAGGACAAGAAAATTTGATACGCGAGGAAAAAATGGGAAGCTAATGCAATATGCGGGAAATTAAACAAAGACAAAAGGATACGAAGCATAAGACATGCTAATGAACAGTCTTTTAGCCGACCCTATTCAGTGATACAGGAGATTGAGTCTGAAGCCGGTAACATTTGTTGTTTGGCTGGAGGAGTAATAAGAAATATATTGATCATGTTTGAAGCACGTATGGTCATACATTAAATGTGGACGAATCTCCTAGCAAAATTCAAGTGTTAAACTTAATCAACTAAAATAATTTTTCTTAATTTTGAATCAACAGGCCCTTTGGCAAAGACAGAAAGTGGATGAATTCTTGGTGGTATGTTTTGTAATTTAAAATTTATTTCATTGCACTTTTGCCAATCCTGACAATTATAATTCATCTTAAAATTACTCTCTGCATGAGTGTATGAAGTTTCGGTCATTGTGGACAGACTCTATTATGGATTTCGGACCACATTTTCCTTAGAGCCCTCTTATCTATTCCTTCTCCAAGCTCGGGTTATGGATGAAGGAATCAAGCAGAAAATATCAGCAACAACTGGTTTATTCCTTATTTAGGTGGATTTCCAAGCTATGATTCTACTGAGAATTAGAATAATCTGGATTCTGGAATGCTAGAATCTTGTGGACATAATGCTACTACATATAGGTCTATATATACATATATAATATGTTATCAATTATAAATTCTTCATTTTGTAACCACTGACAAATTATTTGTTGGTAGATTTAACTAAAAAGAAAAGAAAGGAAAGAAAAGCCCCCGCGGCCAAGTGTGTGTAAGAAAATGAGTTCACATGTCATTATACCCAAAAACCCCTTTCTTGTTCAGAAGATACAACAATCATCTAACAGATAAATGACAAATATTCTATGATAGCTATATTGAATAACGGCATAAAGTTTCTCCAATCCAATGCAATCTATAAAAATAATATTGTTAAAACATCTCTTGCTCTGGAATATTTTGACTCAGAATTTGTGCTAATACTAGCCGTTGTCTTCTTCCAAGTATAAGTCTAGAAGTAGTTGCCCTATAATTTTCAGCCTATACTTGATGGTCATGATTGGATATTGCGTTAAACCAGAGATGATGAAAGGGAGAACCATCACAAAGTAAACCCAAAATGAAATCCAGTTCATTTTCTTCTGGCCAACGGTGAGTAAAATTGTTGACCCAAAAGTCAGCATAGTGGTCATCAAAGAGACTAACATCCACCCAAAGCCATCTGCGAGGTTTAGTGGGAGGTCCTCATACAAATCTTGCATCCGAAACGGCGACGTAAGTATGGAGAGGAACATCATCACTGACAACAGAGAGCTTGCCAAGGCTATAGCGTCAGCGGTATAGAAAAAGCGAAAGACAAGTGAGTTGCGTAAGATGGGGGAGCCATCTTTGTTGCCGCCAGGGACGGTGTACATTGCAGCAAAGACGACGGTGGCGATGAGAACGACGACGGTGGAGCATGACTGAGCTGTCTGCTTTATCCAGTCTGTGGCTTCTTTGAGCATGGCCGAATGTTCTTGTTCAAACATCTCTCTAGCTGTTATATTGTCGTCATTGCGATACAGTCGACACCACCAGGAATTATCTTCCGTACTCGCTGCCAAATGAACAAGATTAAGAGAAAAATGTCAAAGCTCAATACTAATGTATTATTCATTTAATCATGATTACAAGGATTCTGATCTTTATGTATTAAAACGAGTAACAGAATTCATTTAGACAGTTATTATAGGCCCATACTACAAAGGACCATATATCCATAAATCACTTAACACTCGCTGCATAGTACAGTTATAGAGTCAGGATCGATGCATAAATGAGGCAAAAAAATTTCTTCACCGTTAAAGGGTGATGTGGACCAAATTGCTTGACTTATTTTGCCAACATGTCGAGAAGCAATTTGGTCCATATCAGCATTTAACGATCAAATTCAACTTTAGTTAATGGCAAGAGCAAAAATGATCCAATTTTGAGAGCTCAAGGGAAAGAACGTATCACAGAGAGTTCCAGAGCAAAACTGAGAAGATCACGACTAACATGAATTAGAGGTGGAAAATATGAACTAATTAAACAAGATTAGTCAATGCTTACTTGGAACCAATGGAGCTCATCCCGAAGTCGGAAGACAACACCAGCTTGGTCACCTGGTTGGTAGAAGTCTATCTTTGCAGCTTGGTGCAAGAGAGTGCAACCTCCACTACTGATTCCGACAGCCAAGCTCCTGAGGACTCCATATTTCTTGAGGGGCTTGTAGATTTTCTTTTGGCGATGCTTCACAGTCACGTGCAGAATGTTTTGCCCATCATGACTCACGTGATAAATGGAAGCTGGATGAAGGTCAATGATTTCTTCACGATTTCTTCTATTCCTGTGCTTGCTGCTAGAAGCAATGGCGTATAGTAAATGGGCTTTCAGAAGCTTGTGTCTCCTCATCATCGTCTTTGACTTTTTTCCTTGTAGTCGCAATACTGGAGGGCTGAATCACGGGCAACATAACCTCTTTTCGTGGCATTACAGGATTTGTAGACATCCACGAGTCATCATTCATCACGAGAAAGTCTACAATCTCCTCGGCTAGTTCGTGCTTCTCCTTTTTATTCCTAATCTGCTCGAGTCGATCATCTGATTGTATAGACACATACAGATCAAACATTATCAAACAAGGTTTGAGGGCGGAGGCAAGGGGACCAAGAATTTAATTATTCTCTTCCATGTTATGCAAAATAATTGTTCGAACATCGAACGTTTGATCGATGTGCGCACCATGTTGCTGCTATAAAGGGAATTTGTTGGACCTTGTGCAAATCTAAGAGCAAATAAAATTCTATGAAGAGCTATGGGGACTTCTGTTTTATATAACAGGTCCATGTGCTTTGTATTGTTTCTAGTCTTTGAGCTTTATTTCATTATTTCCAATCCTTTTAATTTGATCAATCAACAACGTTTCAGGCCCCAAAAAAAAGAAAGAAAGAAAGAAAGAACAGAAAGATCAACCTACATTAGTCCATGCAATTTTAAAAATGTATACATCCACGAAGATAACTTCACCGTAATGCTAGGGCTGTTTAGTTTTAATTTTTACAAAAAGGGGCAGCCCACCATCAAGCCCAGCTAATATTCCCAGTTTCAGTTTACAATTTCGCCCATCATTCAAAATTAATATTTAATAGAGAGAAATTAAAATTGCTACAATAACTTATCATCATTACTAATAGGGCATTTGAGGAGAAAAGGTCAATTTCAAACACAAATAAAATGAATAATCAACTTTTTAATATTAGTGAAATAATTTTTCTTTATCGTTAGGCAAGGATTTATTGTTAGTGACGGGACAAATTCCGCATGGTGATGAAACTATTTTTCTTGGTATATACTTCCTCCATTCAATACTGTATAAGATATTAATTTTACTGAATTACACCCTTAATGAGTTTGTTACTTGTTCTTAAAATTACGCTGGTAAAAGAAAATTGTTTTTAAAATTACACTTTATTTTATATTTATCTTTATTTAATTAGGTATCTCAATTAAAATACTTTATTAATTACATCTATTGTTAAAGGTATTTTTAAACAATGTTATTAATTTTACCTTGAAAGATTCAAAATATCTTATATTTTTAACATGATATTAAAAAATATATATATATATCGTTTAATATTGAAGGGAGGGATATAGTCCATAAAAATTTGTGATATCCTGTAACAAAGAGACTTAAATCGCTTAAAAGTGTGACTTCTAATTATTGCCAACAATTAGCGTGGAAAAAGACGTATGATACTGACCTATACCGAGTCGATATATTAAGTATCAACTTCTGTATGGCGGATAAAATTTCGTAGTATCATATAACTTCTCTGACGGCCGATTCAATTTGGTGGTATCATAGAATATATGCGGTGGATTGAAATTTCTGGTATCGAAGTTATCAGGAGCATAAATGCCCAGAACTTCAATATTCCTGCAAATATTTTGTTCAACATGGTCAGAGAAGATCATCAGATCAGTTCTAAAATGAGCTACATAAAACAATTTTTTGTTCATGATTTGTACCACCAAAGATGATGAAATGCATTTTCATCACTTTGCCGCTTTCTGTCTCGTTTCTGTCTAAGAAGTTTATCATCATCACCATCATCATGATCATCATCATTTTTGCAGTCTATATGTCCTTTCTGCTTTAGGAGTTTATCATCATCATCATTGCTGATATGTGATCTTTTGGCATGACGACTTGTTATCAAATTTTATGTGGAAGAGACAAAGTTTAAGAGTAATTTGTTTCTAATTATGTTCATTCAATATTCAATATTGAGAGTTAAAATGGGAATAAAAAAAACCTAATGATTACAAAATACAAAATATAATCCACAATTGAGGATGATAATCACATTAGGTGACCTAAATAAAATACGAAATTATACCCAATTAAAAATCACTAATAAACTATAATCAAATTGCATATTCGTTGTGTGCATATGTATCATGACTTTTCATAACCTTGCAGATATATACAAGAAAGTGAAATTAGATATAAGTTCATCTATATTATTTTAAACCGGCCTCTTAAATTTACCTTACAATTAGGTCTTTAAGTTTCAATCCGTCATATATTTAACAGTTAATTCCATCAACTAAGTATTGTCCCCAAAAAAAAAAAAAAAAACACAAATCTATCATTTGTATATAAACGAACAGGTGTTTTTAGAGAAGACTATGTCTCCAACAATTTTTTTTAATAGGAGGATTTTGTACATAATTTAAAAAAAAAAATCATTGGCTAGAAGTGACTCAATGGCTGATTGAAAAAAGAGAAAGAGAGATGTCTTACTAAAGAGAAATACAAGACGCTCGCGATAATCAATAAAATCAATGAACTCATCCATCAACCCAGTGCTGGAAGGGCTCCTGAAAACAGACGGCATCCACATAGCAGTTAAAGACAGGTCAATCCATGTCTATTCTCTGCACGGGACTACTTTGTCAATGCCTTCAACCTCAATAATCACAGAGCAACCTCTGCAACATAAATTAAATTTCTTATTCGATGATATTAGTCAATTATTTAAGGCTAGCATGCCAATTAAGGAAAGATCAAAGGACCACCGAAAGCATGAATGATGTTGGCAGGGTAG